AATATGTACAGCCAGCAGTAGAGGCAAATCAGAGCTTGAATGATGGAGAACCAACTTGGAAATAATTATTCCAAATTGTCAACAATTTATGCACTAGTGGAACGGGTTGTTCCTGAGGCCCCCAAATTAAGCGATTTTTGGCTGAACCGGTTCACCATATCTTCTGTTCTTGTTCTTTTCGTTTCTACTTTTATACATTTATGCGTCATAGTTCATATTGAGAAGTGGTTTCATACATAAAATCCCAACACACTCTCCTCTTATCTTTGTTTTGTGATTTTGACAATGTGAGTCTATGTTCCATAATATATTTTTCTGAATTCTACTAAACAATGACAACAATAGTAACAAATTTACTTTTTCTTTTAATTAGTTTGGATATCAACTTACAGCAGCAACAACTTTATTTTCTAGTGTATGTTTGCTTCATTGGACTTGTATTCTTTTCTCTATCTTCTACTTTTCATCCAAGAATTAACGCAAATGTATAACAAAGTACTGATTAAAATTTTGAGTCATGCACGTAAATATCAAACTCTACAGTATGTAAATTTAAGATTTGATGAAACTTTTGCACATTATTCAAAGGAAGATGTTGACAATCTGACTCATAATGATAGCATCAGAACTTTTGTTAATATTGCGCACCATGTTGAACTAGGGGATGAGCGGCTTGATACAGCTAAATCTCTTGGACATGCTTTTCTAGCTAAGTCTAGGTCTGGAAAAGTTTCGAGCTTTTAGTGTAAAAAAAATTGGAACAAGGGCAAGAAAAGAAATGGAAATAAGGTTGGATATGGACCTAAAAAGAACGAGTCCAAACGCAACAAAAAAGGAAAGTATTTTGAAAAGGAAGTCAAGAGAAAGCTAAAATGTTATAACTATCAAATGATAGGTCACTTTGCTCGAGATTGCTCTGAACCAATAAGGTAGCTCATATAAATATTCTTTTAGCACAATTTATGTTTCTAGCACTGTTATGCTCACTAAATCTTATTCTATCTCGAATTGTATACTCGGGAATGACATAGGAGAAGAAGAAAAAGAGGCTAGGGTTTTATTGATTCTGCATAATGTAATTGAATGAATAAAACCTAGATACAAAGAGACTATATATAGTCTAAAATAAAGAAAACTTAAAAGACTATTCTACCCTTAATAAATAATGTTAACAAAATAATCATATATTTCTTAACAACCAGATGAAGTAAGCAGCCGAAGCTCGTTACCAACCACACCTGTGTTTCAATCACTACAAGAAAATTTGACTATGAAAACTTTTGCATTGAGACATTTCCGGATGACCCTTTTTCATGAAACATTTCACGGTGAAGAATGTGATATATTTCTTAAAACACTTTTAAAACGGTGCTATTTGTGTCAATTGCCTTAGCTGCTTATTTGGCTTGAGCTGCTTGAGTGGCACCCATTTATTGGTAGTTGAGTCTTTCACACGGATTGTGCTAGTTTAAACTGATGAGGACCGTTAGATGAAATCAATGGTTGAGATTCATCCTTGAGATAATATCGTCTGTTCAGTTTACTATTTGAGATATCACTTTTCATTTCTTTTGGACTCTTTCTGCTTTTGGCTCCTTCGTGTTTGAGTATGTATTTTCTTCGTCATGTGGGGTTCTTTGTATTTTGATCTAGTTGTTTAGGGGTGAATCTCTTGTGTAAAATCACGCCTGAAAGAGTGGCTGATTACGTGTTGGTTGTCTCTAAGTGTTGGGTTAGATTTGTGAGTCTGAACTCTATTTTTTTGCGAGATCATTCGATCGATGACCAAAATCTGGAACTGAGTGGTTAACTGTAATATTTCTCTCTTGGAATGTGGTTTATGCACTAGTGGAACGGGTTGTTCCTGAGGCCCCCAGATTAAGCGATTTTTGGCTGAACTGGGTCACCATATCTCGTGTTCTTTTTCTTTTCGTTTATGCTTTTATACATTTATGCGTTATAGTTCATATTGAGAAGTGGTTTCATACATAAAATCCCAACACACTCCCCTCTTATCTTTGTTTTGTCATTTCGACAATGTGAGTCTATGTTCCATAATATATTTTTCTGAATTCTACTGAACAATGACAACAATAGCAACAAATTTACTTTTTCTTTTAATTAGTTTGGATATCAACTTACAGCAGCAACAACTTTATTTTCTAGTGTATGTTTGCTTCATTGGACTTATATTCTTTTCTCTATCTTCTACTTTTCATCCAAGAATTAACGCAAATGTATAACAAAGTAATGATTAAAATTTTGAGTCGTGCACGTAAATATCAAACTCTACAGTACGTAAATTTAATATTTGATGAAGCTTCTGCACATTATCCAAAGGAAGATGTTGACAATCTGACTCATAATGATAGCATCAGAACTTTTGGTAATATTGCGCACCATGTTGAACTAGGGGATGAGCGGCTTGATACGACTAAATCTCTTGGACATGCTTTTCTAGCTAAGTCTAGGTCTGGAAAAGTTTTGAGCTTTTAGTGTAAAAAAAAATTGGAACAAGGGCAAGAAAAGAAATGGAAATAAGGTTGGATATGGACCTAAAAAGAACAAGTCCAAACGCAACCAAAAGGGAAAATATTTTGAAAAGGAAGTCAAGAGAAAGCTAAAATGTTATAACTATCAAATGATAGGTCACTTTACTCGAGATTGCTTTGAACCAATAAGGTAGCTCTTATAAATATTCTTTTAGCACAATTTATGTTTCTAGCACTGTTATGCTCACTAAATCTTATTCTATGAGCTTAACATATGAGCCCTTACTGTCACCCATGTAACCAAGGATCGAGAAGCATTTGTGGAGTTTCGTCGATATTCGACTGGTACAAAGTGGATATATGTCGAAAACGATGATAGAATAGAGGTGAAAGGGACTGGTACATGCTAGTTACTCTTGAGTGGAGGCTCTACAATTCATGTTCATGATGTCCCATTTGCTTTAAGGATACACCAAAACTTAATTCAGTTGTTGTTCTTTTATAATTATGTTTCAGTTTGAACTTTAGTGATACTTGTGTTATTTAAATAATGACAATATATACTATGGATCTGAATATTTGTCTAATGGATTTCTAGTGTTGGATTGTGAACCAACACTTATAACTAGTATATAAATCAATATTTTTCTGTGAACATAATCCTCTTCTTCTTCCAAACATATGAATATGGATACATGTGCATAGCATGCTAGATTAGGATATATCGGACAAGGCAGACTAAATAAGTTAGCTAAAGAGTGCCTACTAGGTTCAATCCTTAAGGTTTCGTTATCCACTTGTGAGCATTGCCTAACAAGAAAAACAACACAAAACCATTTGGTAAGACTTTGAGGGTCAATTTTCCATTGCAATTAGTCCATTCCAATATTTGTGGTCATATGAATATGAGGGCAAGATGGAGCTTCTTATTTCATCATATTTATAGATGATTTAACGCGATATAGTTATGTTTGTTTGATTTCTCACAAGTCAAAGGCATTAGAATACTTCAAACAATACTTAAATATGGTGGAGGTTTAAGCAGAAAGGAAGGCGAAAACTTTAAGAACCGACCAAAGAGGTGATTATCTATCCGAAGAGTTCAAGAAACTATGTAATGAAAATGAAATTATTAAGAAATTAAGTTTTCTCAACACACAAAACAAATGGTGTTGTTGAGAGAAGGAATGCAACATTGCTCGAAATGGCAACGTACATGATATTGCAAGCTAGCTAACTTATTTCCTTTAGGGAATATGCTTTGTTGACTACGACGTACATTCTAAATAGAATTCTTTCAAAATAAGTACCTACAACACCATATGAGCTTTGGACAAGTAGATCACCTCAGTTATTTTAGACTCTAGGTCAATTGCCCAATACAAGTAAAGGAAATAGCATAATATTGTCAGATTCACGAGAGAATATATTACTTTCAATACATAAGCGAGAAGCGGTCCTTTGTAGTTTCATACATATCTTTCAAGGACCAATTTGCGAATGTCCCCACCAAGTCACTAGTTTCAGCTGCTTTCACGTTTCTCCTTCCCAATATTGAAGTCTCCAATGGTAGTTGTCTCCATCTTGTAGGGACATATTAAGGATACCTTGGTCGACCAATCAAATAAGCAAAATCATGAGCTCAACCCCACCAAAAACGTATCTCGGTATCATCCAAACAATGGAGACTTGTTTTTATTTATTGTAACTAAACGTAATCTATTTGCATTGTTTTGATGTATTTTAACCCTTGTTTAAGCTCCATCAAAATCAAATTTTGGAGAAAAATGTATTTTGAAATAGTAATTTTTTTAAAAATGTGTGGTTAAAAAAGAAAAAATAGTTTTGAACTTACGTGTAATATCATTTTATTGGAGAACATTTAATTGAAAAGAAGGGACAAAAGTGCATTTTGAATAAAATGGAGCCCACACATGAGCTTAAATTTGTAAAAGTTAACTAAATTATGCCCTTATCTTGTATTTATACATTGTACACTCGTATCACTGAAATTATAATGAGATAGAATTCAATTTTAATTGTTCCTCTTTACTTTTTCTTTGTGCAAAGTTAGGTAGCAGAGGACAATTATGAGACGAGAAAGAAGATTTTCATCTGTAACAGCCCTATAATAGGATTATGCTACATGTACTACATGGTTTACTACATCGCGAAGTGGCGGCGCCCCATTGGAGGGTCGGCTGTGGGGCGCCGCCACTTGGCGATATAGTAATTCATGTAGTACATTTTTTAGTACATATAGTTTAATTCTAAAAAGTTATAGGACAAGTATAATTCACCCAAAAAATGGGATTACATCAAATGTAAAATTACAGAAAATATAACAACTGTACTTAATTTGACTCCAAATGCTTTAGGAATTTTTTTTTTTAAATAAAGATTAACTTACCTCTTTCATATTACAATTGTGGTTAGCAATACAAAAAATAAAAACGTATAAGTCAATTTGAAGAAGGAATTTGTGTTGCACCCAAGTGACAGAGAAAGCTAAATCAAGGTTGAGGTAAGGACTTCTAATACACCACACAACATATTTCTTGAAAATGAGAGGAAACTGTCACATAATCTTCTGTTCCTGGAATCCAATTTCGGCGAAGGAATACTACCATGAACCATCTTGGGGTTTAGATATACTCGAACGGTCCTTGAAGGCACCACTTGTTGATACAATGTCTTGGGGGCTTGTCTAGTTGAAACGAGCAATCCATGGTTTATTTCAGTTTTTTCACACACTGTCAAACTCTGAGTGCTTGAATAGTCAACAATGTTTCCATCCGGCAAGAAGTTGTCAGTCGCATTTTCATTCACAAATTCAGCAGACATATCATTTTGATTTGTATAAATGATATCAGTGTCAAAGTTTAGTTTGCTGGTTCCTCCTGCAATGAAATATTGTAAATTTATGAGTAAAGCTAATGGAAAAAAGAAAAGAATGGAAACTATGTATCAAGACGATGAAAAAGAATAATGATAGGAAAAACTTAAAGTGGCAAACCTTGAAAATCATGAAAATTAGAACTATTCTCCACTGGAACTGTTTCGTATTCCTCATAAAAGGTCTGTCAAGGACAATCAGTAACATAACTAAGCAGTCTGAAATATCACTTCTTTAGAAGATGAAAGTTAATGGAAAAAGGTTACTAATAGTAAACTATTTATCCTAAAAAATATAGATATACATTCTTATACCTTTTCTAGGAAGTCAATGACTATTCATTCTCTATCATAGGCTTCTCTGATACTAATAGTTGGGCGGGGCCTATGAGGCGGTCATTTCAAGGTATTTGAAGGTAAATTTTATTGAAGCACTTGAATTAAACTTTAGTAGCGCAAATTAGGTTACCTTTTCAAGTTCCTTGTTCGACATCCCCATACATCTCAAGGTTTCAGCTGTTCTCTCTGATGCGAAAACTTCATCCTTTTCTTCAATTTTGATAGACCTATGATTTGGTTCGTCTCCTAAGTTGTCCATATGTTTGAAGTAACCAATACCATGTATTTGGTTATCATGTGGCGGAAAGGAAAAATCTTCAGCCGGAGCATAAATTCCGCCCCATGTGTCTTGATTTTGAAACTCGTGAGAAGCTTGAGCAACTGAAAGAATTTCCTCCACTATATCTGTAGGTTGATTTGTATTTTCACGAAAAGCATTAGAATGTGACAAACCAGACTGTGGGAAGTCCTGGATTTCCAATGGTGGTAATGTAAAACGATGTTGTAACCTTGCACACTCTATTGCTAAATCAACCTGAAAAACATAAATTATAACCAAATGTAAAGACGAAAATATATATAGAGTGGTTGTAAAAAGAACTTATGTCCTCTGCCCAATTTTCGAATCTAGTTGTACGAATGATGTTCAACATGATATGAGAACAAGGATGAGGTTGAGTTCAAGTCCCTTGCCCCATTATTTATAAAATGTTGTGCACTTGTCAAAGTTATTTTATATTATTAGATGGAAGAAGACATGTTAAAGACTAAATTTAAATAAATAATATATCGCTTCTCTAACTGCTATTAGAAGTTGAGTTCAAGTCACATTTTCAATTGGCCTGTGATGGCCGGATGTAGGACGAATTATTTACCAGTAAGGCTGAAACTCCTTACCTTGGAGGGTGTATATGGTGTTGGTGAACACTGGGAATATGGATTATTGATGAAACCAAATGCCTCTTCGGATAAGTACTGTGTCCATCTTCCATCATCTGGGCCATTTGTATTCATCTGAGAGGCATTGGTAGCACTGGATGAGCAGCTTCCTAATGGCATTTGATAGTCTGAGATATCAAAATCATCAAATTTTCCTTGAGAGTACATGTCGATGCTGGAGGATCGCTCACTGGCTGTGGTCACATATTGGTCGCCAATTTTCGGGCCGTTCAAACTCTTCTTGAATACACGGCAAAGCGCGTAAGCTTCCTGAGAACTCATTCAAGAAATCGTTTATTTTTGTGACATATTATTATATACACAATAGTTGAGAAAACGCTGAAACCAACAAGACAAATATTTATAGATTCTTTGGGTAAAAGTTAGACAGGAGAAAGATCCTATTTATAGGATTAAAAATAATTTAAAAACAAGATATATCCAGATAATACTACTGAAGATAGAAAGAATGTCTTAACAAGAATAAAAGGTTAAAACATAAGATAAAACAAGATTGCACCTGCAAGCCGTTGGCATTTTCACATTCCCTTTCATCTAATCGATATTCGTGCATAATCCAATCAGTTCGAGTTCCATGAGGAGCTCTACCTCCGTAGTAAACTAGGGTTTTCTTCATCCCGATAGCCCTCGTTTGTGAGTTCACCTTTCTATCCTTTCCAGTGGCCTTCCAGTATCCAGCTTTTGTTGCACGATTAGTCCTCAACCCATTCGGATACTTACGATCTCTAGGGCTAAAGAAGAACCATTCGAGATCTTTGCTTGGCAATAATGACTTCCCTATACAATTAAAATTTTCAGTCATCAGTTGTCTTTTGATATGAGCACTGAACAAAATACATACAGAAAATAAATCAACAATTGAATAAACCAAAACTAAGAAGACAACATAGAAATTAGTTTACAAAATGCGATTCATTTCAAGAGAAGTTAATGAAGATGATTTTTTTCTTGAAGATTCGCATCTGAGTAGCAGAAAAAGGCATTAAAGTTGGGTAATATTTGCGGAAAACAATGCAATCATATGCTTTTCTTTGCTTTTTGACTGCATCTTGATCTTTGTGATTAAATAGAGGACATTAAAAGATGTAGGGAATATGAAATGATGATCTTTATCTCAAGGAAAGGAAAGTGAGATTATATATGATATTATTGACTGATAAAGTGTGTGTTCAAAGTATATAGTAGCTTATATTCATGATAGTTTATCGATCATCCAAAAGAAGGTGGAGCACGCGCAAGGAATATTAATCAAACTTTAGTTTGCAGCTTCGAATTTTCACATCGTTAGCAAATTCCAGAATACTGTTAATCACAGTAATTTATAACCATAAATTCAAGAATCTCCCATATAATTTCTTTTGCGTTAGAAAAAGAGGGTTATGAATAATTATTTGATACAAGTTTTTTATTATTGTATATTTAAGGCACAAGAAAACGCTAATTTCTTTATAACCGATGAAAAAAAGGATTTCTTTAAAAATTATCAAGGACGAACCAGATTTTTACCCCGTTTATAACTGCTGATTATGGCAAATAAAAAGCTGTATTATCAGGTTGAATGATCTGATGATATGAATAAGAAAAAAGGATTACTGTGTGTCATGCCAATATTTCATCTAAAGCTACTAGAAATGAGGCCAATCAGTTTTTTATACCTTTCTTCATCTTCACTTTGTTATTAATCAATTCGCATAGCTAATTTGATGAATCAATTTACAATAATTATCAAACAATACAAAATTCAAGCTATGGATTAAAGAAGGAGAATACCTGGCAGGTCCCATGGCTCACACTTATAGAGATCAACTTCTGGAATGATTTCAAGCTCAATCCTATGCCCATTGATCTTCTTTTTTAGATAATAAGCCACAAGTTCCTCATCAGTTGGATGAAAACGGAATCCCGGTGGCAATGAAACAGGTGTCATCTCCCTTTGAAATCCGAAACTCGAAAAATACAAAAATAATTTACACCACCCCTTTTGGAGTCCTACTGCAAATGATTCATGCAAAAAAACCCTAAAACAAATTAGTTGCAAAAACTAACAATATCATAGAAACATGCATTTTCTTAAACAATCCCTATCGACCGAATGACTCGTGATTTGAACATCATTTGATGTCAAATGTGTGCATGTTTGTGTGTGAGAGAGAAAGAGAGAAATCTTACAAGATCCAAAGAAGGGAAAGAGCGAGGCAAAGGAGAGAGGGAGATTGAGAAGTGTTGGTTTATATTGATATACAAGAGAACAAAAAGAGATGAGAAAAGCAAATTGGAGACTCCCAACCCCACACACTTTTATCTTTATATTAGTTTTTTCCCATCAAATGTTGCTTTATTAGTCAAAGAAGAGTTCGAGACATGAGAGAAAATTCTTTCTTCTCAAGAAAATATCATAATATATATATTAATTATCCCATGCTTCGATTTTGTCCTTTCTTGGAATCTGAGCTTGCCGCATCCACATGGTAATATCAGATGTATTTTGTGTCTCTGTTTAAAGAATCTTTGCTGCCAATGAAAATCTGTATTGGGAAACGAATTGGCGGCTTTCTTAAACTGAAAAGAATGTTCCTTTCATATGCCAATTCTGGGTTCATTTATTGTTGACACACAAAATGTGCAGCCCAATTCAAATGGCCCAAGAAAGGAAATGCCTCAAGAGAAGAAACTCATTTAGAGAGATCGGGGTAAAAGCCTGACCAAGAAAATCATTAAATATGATGAAAGCCCAAAAAAAAAGGTACGTCGTTGCCCAAGCTTTTCTTCTCAAGCTCTGTACTCTCTCTAGATTCTTTCTTCTCTAGAAAATATCATAATATATATATTATCCCATGCTTCGATTTTGTCCTTTCTTGGAATCTGAGCTTGCCGCATCCACATGGTAATATCAGATGTATTTTGCGTCTCTGTTTAAAGAATCTTTGCTGCCAATGAAAATCTGTATTGGGAAACGAATTGGCGGCTTCTTAAACTGAAAAGAATGTTCCTTTCATATGCCAATTATGGGTTCATTTATATTAACAAATGTGCTAACAGTAATTAATACCAAGCTCATAATCTGTTTAAAGAATCCTATTTTCTAGGCCTTGTAGGGTTGCACAATTGAAGTCATATATTACCAACGTATTTAGACATGGACCACCCATTGAACGGGAAAAAAAATAGGGTAGACGGTCAAGAGTCGTAATTGGTTTAATCAAGAACACCATGATGAAGTGTTGCTCCACTCCCCCGTCTCTGGTTGGGGAAATTTTTTTTTTTTCTATTTTGCAACTTTAGCGAGAAGTTCGATCGAGCCCCCCCTTGTAAGTAAGTACTATGTTTTATTTTCATTAATAATAAAACATGGCTAAGATAATGGTTTTAAAAAAAAAAAAAAAAAGACCAAGATGTTAGATTGAGTATATATTTGATTGAAAATACTATTAGATGAGTATTGCGAGTTGGTAATAGATTTGAAGATGTTATGAGGCTGACGTTCGAACTCTCAAAACAGAGACCGTGGTGCTCGCTTGGCGGCGACTGCCGCTCGAGTGGCGATGAAGTCCGGGCAAAACACTAATTCCATTTTTTGGTAGTTTTTGACTCGTATTTCATCTCAAATATTGCATTATTGATTTTATCCATTATATTGGAATTTCACCATATATTAAACTCTTCATTGTATTAATTCTCCTAGTATGTTAGAGATTGTTGTATTATAAATATTTGGTATCTTACACATATTTGATAGAACATAACAAAGAGAAAATCCAATTAATAGAGAGAGTCTCGAAGATAAAGTTCTTCGAGAGAGAGTCTTGTAAGATTTAGTCTAATATATTGTAACTCCTTACTTTTAATTATAGTGAATTTTCCGCCTCTACCCATAGTTTTCCCAAATGAATTTTTACGTAAATCTTGACTATTGTTGTTTTATTTCATATTACCATTCTCTAACAAATTGGTATCAGAATAAGGTTAATCTTTCGTAATAGCAACAAGGAAATTTGAAATTTTATTTTTGGATCGTAACACCAGATTTTCTTTGTGGTACATTAAGATGAGAGTAGTTCTTGCCCAATTGAATTTCGATGTTGCTCTATTCGGATCGAATAAAATACCCTCAACTTTAACACTGGAGAAGAAGCAACGTAGGGATCGAAAGACCCTATTACAGATACATTTTCATCTTTCGAATCAAATTCTTCATAACGTTTTAAAGGAGAAAAGTTCATCTACAGTATTGTTGAAGTTAGAGCAGTTATACAAGACTTGGAGTTCAACCTGCAAATTGCATTTGAAGCAGCGTTTGGATTCTAATCGTATGACAAAACGAATATTTGGAATATCATATATCTGAATTCAAGGAAATCGTCACTCATTTGAAGACCTAGGGTTGATTTTGTTATGTTCATTGTCTACTTCATATATAATATTCAGGGACACCATTTTATAAAGTTGAGATACTCTTACCATTGATAACATTTATGACGTGCTGTATTCTAAGAAGAAGATAAAGCAGCTAGTCGTTGGATCTAAAGCTTAGGAAGAAGGTCTTGTTGTTCGTTCGTAAGAAGAATTTGAGTAGTTGTGGAAGTGGCAGGTTTAAATCTAATAACAATGATATAGTCTTATATTATTACAAGAAAATGGGGCGCATAAAGAAGAATTGCTACAAGTAGCAGAATAGTGATAAGTTTATAGCTGCAAATCAGAAGGAACAACAGCCCTAGATTTAGAAGAAGCCAGTGTTGCAAACGAAGAAAGCCACAGTGATAGAGAACTCCTTGTGATTTCTGACTACAATTCCAAACCTAGTGAGGATTGAATTCTTGATTCAGCTTACACTTTCCATATGTGTCATCATTGGTATTAGTTTTCAACATATGAAACAATTTTCGTAAGTGTTGTGGTAATAGAAAAAAATGCACCTTTTAAGATAGTGGTATTAATAATGTCAGATTAAGATGTTTGTTAGGACGGTCAGGACACTAGGTGAGGTTAGACATGTTCCAGATTTAAAGAGAAATATTATCTCCTTAAGTATTTTGATTCAAATGCAGTTACATCGGTGAAGGTGAAATTCTGAAAGTTAGCAAATGTGTCAAAGTTGTGATAAGGGGCAGAGAAGGTCCCAATAATATGTTTTGAAAGGTTCACTACAACATATCAAATCATCTTTAGCTTGCGAAAAATACTATCTATTATCATCTATAACATTTTTCAAAATGTTATCGTAGACTGTGTTATTAAAAGTCGTACATCTATTATATCGTTTTATAAACGTTATTATTAAGTGTTATTTTCATTTCAAAATGAAATCGGTATATTTTCATTTCTCAAGCATGGGTAAGAATTTTTCGATTGTGTCCTTAAACAATGTAGTTTGAAAATTACTCCCTCGAAAATATTATAAAAAATAACCGATTAGTCTAATAATAAAAATTCTATAAGAAAAGTATCGGCGACATTATATAATACATCCCCATCACACAAAATTAGTTTTAAAACTTCAACATGGTCGTTTTTATTACTGTAGATCTCAATTGAACCTTTTTGAAGTATGGATACTTTTATAATCCATTTTTCTTCA